TATCTCGCTAAGCACAATACCCTCTAGTTCCATCCACATCGTTGCAAATGGCAAGATTTCATTTCTTTTGATGGCTGCATAGTATTCCATTGTATATATACACCACATCTTTTTTATCCATTCATCTGTTGATGGACATGTAGGTTCTTTCCACAGTTTGACTATTGTGGACATTGTTGCTATACTGACTTCCATTATTATTAATGAAACATTAGCTGTAATTCTTATTCTTCCTCATCTGTATTTATGTATCTCTTCCCTTTGGCTGCTTTAGAGATTTTTCTCATGTTTGATTTAAATACTTTGATTGTGATGTATGGAGGTGTGATGTGCTTTGTATTTATTCTGCTTGCAGGTTTCTGGCACTCTTGGGTCTATACATGAATGTGTTCTCTCATAGTGGACAAATATGGTGCAGTATTTTTTCATATACATCTATGTAATCTCACATTTTCTCTCTCCTTTCTTTTTGAATTCCACTTACACATATATTAGACTACTTTGCATTGTACCACAGATATCTGAGGTTACATTTCTTTAATTTTCAGTATCTATTCTCTCTGTTCTTCCGATTATATAAGTTCTATTTTTAAGTTTATCATCTTTTTCTCCTTCCAACCGCATTTCATTGTTACAAGGATTCAGTGAATTTTTCATTTCAGACATACTTTTTGGTCCTAGATTTTCATGTTTCTTATAGCTTTCATTATTTTTACTGAGATTCTCCATCTATTTGTTCATTGTGATATTTCCCTTAAACACTTGAACAAAATTATAATAAAATATTTATTATTTATAAATTATTTTATTAATAATTTATTATTAATAATTATTATTTATATTAAAAATAAATTAAAAATTTCCCACCAGTTCCTACATCTGGGCCATCTCAGAGTTAGCTTCTTTTGACTGCTTTTTCTTGATTCTGAGTCACTTTTTTTCGGGTTTTCACTTGCCTATTAATTTTTGTTATTGTATGTTCAACACTGTAAATTATACAATACGGTCTTCCTTAAATGGGTGTTGGATTATGATGCCTTTCTTTAGTGAGTGTTGGCTTTATTGTAAATTTCTCTTGGCCTGTTTGGTTTGTTTTTATTCTTTGGGTATGTGATATGGAGAGACAAAATTTTGAATTTTTGACCTAAAACATGCTTTTTACATTAAGGTATGCCCCTTACTTTAAAGGGATGGCCTTTCTAACATCTAAAGTGAATGCTTGAAGTGCTTCATGAGGTCTCTCTGCCCCCACTGAGATTGAATTCTGACTCTTAACACTGCATGATATGCAGCAGGCAATACCTACTAGGCCATGCAGAGTCTTATCATGTCCATATTCATCTCAGCTCTTGGCCAAGGAACCACGGTGAATCCCCATGTAGACTTTTAGGGCCCCCCTTTTCATAGCTACTTACTTTCAGATATGCTACCCTGACAATTTCAGCTGCTTCAATAGCCCAAGATCCTGAGTTCTCCATAAATGAGACTACTCCGTATGGATTTCACTTTCTTGCACCCTCGAGCAGGGGGCGAAGGGGGTTGGGAGGTGCATTTCAACAGAAAAACCAGGACCATTATGCGATAGTCATGGAGCATATCTCATGTATTTCCTTCTCTCAAAGATCATAGTTGTGTGCTACCTATCAGCCAATGCCTGAAAAGATTTGTCACATTAGAGGTTTTTTCCAGTAGAATAAGTCAGATACCTATTACTCTCTCATGGCTAGAAGCAAATCTGTGGTGTGCATTTAAATGCACACTGAGATTTAAGTCACTGATGCTTTTAACTATTTGTAAGAGGAATTTTTGATGACGAATAGGTAAGCGTACACTTAATAAAATTTTAGTAGTGACTAAAGAGGGAAAGGGGCAGTGTTTTTAAGGGCATTGAAAGCAAACTTAAAATTTCAAAATGAACCTATGTTATGTAAATGATACTCTTAGTTGGATAAACTTAGCAAGTAAAAAAAATGTAATGATATATATATTCTATGTTGTTATTTGATATATAACCTATATTGTAATATATATGATACTCACTGATTTAGAAAATAAAAGGACTTTTTTTTTCTTTCCTATTTTGACCCATCCTATTAATACAGAATGTTCTCACTTAAGGTCACTGAATCTAAGTTGGAGATACTAGACCTTTGAATCATTGGTTGGTGAGTAGCTAAATTAGGAGTCACTGCCTTAGGAAGAAGCCAGTTCAGACTGAAACACAAATGACTATTTGGTTGAAGAAGTAACTCCATTTTTAAAGGGTGGAGATGGTCTGGTAGTAAATTAGTTCTCTCTCTGCCCTGGGAGATTAGACAAACAATGGATCTAACTAAGAAAATAGACTGACTCATTTGGCTACGGTGCTATACAGAAGTTATAAGCAAACAAACATTAATCTCCAGAAAAAGAATAGGGTTCTGTATATTGTGAGTTTTACAGTCAATTTTGAGATTTTTCACTGAATAAAAAAATCAAACATCTATAGATCTAATGGCACTCTGAACCATGCCTTTCCTTACCTCATCATCTGCTATAGCATAGCTGAAGTCATATGTAATTTACTTCATTATTTATCAACTCTGCTTTACGGTGGTAGTTTTTATTGCAAGAGAAGTGAGGGTTGTAGTGACTTTCTTTCTCTGGATTTTCTTGAGCATTTCCCAACTCCTTCTAGTAGTGACCCCACTATCTTCAACTTGAAGGGTCCAACTGAAGAGCATGAAGAATGAAGTACAGATGAGAAGAGAGGAAAGTCAGACCTGTCAGCGGCAAGAGGAGTTACCGGGCTCATAAAGGGTCATAAGTGAATAGGGGTGGAGAATAAAGGGAAATGTAATCACAGATCTGGAAGAGACAAGTCATCTGGTCCAGACTGCCTCTAGACAAGGTCAGGAAGGGGTGTTTGGGCGGACCTATTTTCACATCTGGATTTAGCTTCTCTTGAACTTTTCAGCTTTTTGCCTTTTACCAAGGCTGATTTCTTCTCTGCAAGTCATGTGGTACTTCTGCCCCAGCATGAAGTCCTTTGGAGTGGAATTTAATTAGCTTTGGGGATGGCCTGTTCTTTTTCCAGAAGGTCTGTTTCAGGTTTAGGTCATTCCATTGGCCTCACCAACAACTGAAGGGCAGATGTCCTGGCCACTCAATAATTCCCTGGGCGGAGAGGAAGGGCCTCTAAGATGATGGTCACACTCATATGTCTAACTCCCCTTAGCTGTGAGGACAGGAGGTGTTGAGGTGGGTGGAACTTGGTGTTGGGGAGTGTTTTTTAGGTTGTTTCAGGTCTCACATTCCATAAGAGAAGCATACAGCTGCCTACCTTTCCCAACATACACATCCCTACATTATTTGCTGGTAGAAGTGAAATTTTGGCAACTTAGGGTTCCTCTGGGGTCACTCATTTCTTCCATATGTCCCAGTTGTCTGGATTTACTGCATGAAGTGGACAAAGTAGACTGGGAGTAAACTGTAACTTGTTCTTCCTATCTTTCATTCACGAAGGAGGTTTATGAGCAAAAGGAAAGAGGTAAATGAGATTTCTTCTTGCTATTCTGTGCCTATCACATCACTCACCGGGCCTCCCACGCCGCCACCAGCGTGTGCGCTCTGTGAGCAGAAACGCAACCCCCACCCACTCCTGCCCAGAGCCCTCCTCACCCCTCCCTCACGACCGGCACAGACCGACCAGAACTTCCCTTGGGTCACAGCCCAGCGATATGGAGCGGCCCTGGCGCAGAGCCCTGCTCTTCCCGAGTCGTGGGTGGCGCGGTGCTTGTTTCCCTCCCCTCCCTTTCCGGACCCAAACAGGGATGTATCTGGGTCAGCCTGGAAGGGGCTGGACCTGCCAGGGATCGGCGGGGGGGATGGGGGTGGCGATGACAGCATCTTTCAGGTTTTTGGCGTTTCTGAGCTTGGCCCCGTCCAGCGTCTCACCGAGCTCGCGCCCAGCAAGAGCTGATGCTCCGCTAGTCCGGGCCCTGGGAGTGGGTGGGGGAGAGCCTATCCTTTCTATCTGGACAGTCACCCCTCCTCACCCTGCGAACGATGCGGCGCCCACCCCCACCCTCAACGTGCAAACACATTCCCCATTCCCTAAGGCACGCTCCCCTGGCGGGCGGCGGGTCCCTCCACCCCAGGAAAAGAGCAATGGAACAGTTCACGGCCGCCACGAGTTCCTGGTCTTCCTTCCTTTCCGGTGATAAACGGCGGGGCTACAAGCCAGTTGCTGCTTAAGATGCTCCACCCGTGAGCCTGAGCCTCTCTTGGCTCTGTGCGGGGGCCCAGATCCAGGACCCTGGGTCCTTTTACCCCCGCAAGGCGCAAAGGCGTGACTCGTGTTGGAGCACAGACCCCCGGCAGCTCCCCACTGCCTCGGTTCCTCCCTATGTGATCTTTTGCGCTCCCCAGCGCCGGGGAGGAGCTGAGTGTGCGTAAAATCCGCTTCTTCCCCAGACACTTTAGCTGAGGGTGCCTGGGTGACGTCCGGAGGGTCATGGACTCCCGGCTCCCCACCCTGCGAGCTCTGTATATAAGCCCAGCTCCGAGGAATCAAGGCCACAGGTCTTCATTTCCCCGAGGCCTGGCCCCTCCCTCCCCAACCTTGCCCGGCTTCGACTCGGCAGCTCCAAATCTCCACTCGTTCTTCCTCTTGGCGTTGGGAGAGACGCGGAGCAATGAGTTGAAAGTCATCTCTGGATTCTTGCATGCTGTACACAGTAATCTCCTCATCCTGTCCTTCATTTTCCCACATTGTACCCTCGGAGACTTCTGTTTGCCGGAGGGTAGCCTCATCTTTCCGCCGCATGGGTCCTGTGGCAGGAGCCCCACTGATGCTCTCTGACCAGGACCTTCCCGAAAGGTGCCTGCCTCCGCGGGTGCTCGAGGCCACGCGGAGGTGTTCCTCTGTCCCCGCCTCACCTCATCTCCAGACATCTCTTGCCATCATTTCATCCACCCTTGTATAAAACCCGCGCCCCCCCGCCCCACCCGGCGCCGCACCCCCTCCCTCGGCTGCTCCCGGCAGGCGGGGAGCTGAACGGCCAGGGGCGCGCAGGAGGCGCGCAGAGCTCTCGGGCTGCCCTCGCTCGCCGCGCCTGGGGAATTGGGCTGTGGGCGAGGCGGCCAGGGCTGGCCTTTATCGCTCGCCCCGTTGGTGGTTTGAAACTTTATCAGCGAGTCTCGCCACTCGCCGCAGACGCGAGCGGGGGGCGGGGGCGCGGCGAGGCGCCGGCAGCCGTGACGAGGCGCTCCCGGCGCTGAGCGCTTCTGCTCGGGGCACGCATGGCGCCCGCACACGGAGTCTGACCTGATGCGGACGCAAGGGGGTTAATATGAACGCCCCTCTCGGTGGAATCTGGCTCTGGCTCCCTCTGCTCTTGACCTGGCTCACCCCTGAGGTCAGCTCTTCATGGTGGTAAGTCCACGCGCACGGGTGCAGGGGGATTTTGGAGATGGGAGTGGGGAACGCACTAGCCACATAGACCTTTCCCGGTGGCGCTTCTCCGCGGCCACGGCCATCGAAATTCCAGTCGGAACCCCCAGCTGCTGTTCTCTCGTACCGCCTCAGCCCCAGCCCCTTTGCTTTTCCATAGAAGACCATTCCAGCTTTGACAACTCCAAAAAAACCCCACAGCCTCCCTCAAACGAGAGCTCGGATGTTTGGTTGATTTGGATCCAGATGAGCGACAGCAATATCAGCCAATTTCTTATCCCGTTGAGAGACACGCTAGCCGGGTCTCCAGCTCTGTAGCACAGGCGTCTGTATGTGGTGTGTGCGCGCGCACGCGGGTGTGTGCGTGTGAAAATTCACCTTGAAAACTACAACAGTCTCCCCCCTCCAGCACCCCCCGTAAAACTGCCTCATGATAAACCGACGGGCCAGTTCTGGCAGCGGAGAGCTGCACAACGCAAAGCGTGTGATTTTGCATTATTTCTCGTCCTTCCACATTCCTAATGCTTCACCCCGTGGGGCGGAAGGACCTCTTGTTGCCTCCAGGTGGAGATTACCACCTTAACATGAAGATCCAGCCCCAGGGGGCTCTAAGATGCTACCCTGTTCAAAATCACAGTCACTCCAAAGAGTAACTTTGCTGCCCTTTTGTATGCTGGTCTGCGATTTATTTTGCATAGTAAAGGAATGGCAGAATGTTGAAATGTAACAGGTCTTAGCATAGCTAAAAGTTCCAAAGGCAGATTCTCTCCCCACTCCATCTCCCTTCCTTCTGATCTTGAAAAGAGGTGGAGATGTTAGCTCTGTAATGTCCTTGAACCTGCAAGTTTCAGAACAGATACTAAAATACTGATTCAGAAAGACCAGTTATCGTGGGCTGTTTTTTGTTTTGTTTATAAAAGAATCTGGCATAAGTAAGGAGTCTCAGCCAAATTAAAGACTAGAGCAAGGAGCTTTAGGAAGACCCTGGAGCTCTTCAAAGGAGCAAGCCAAAGCGTTGATGGGAAGAAGGGTTCAATTCCTTCCTAAGCCGCTTTGAACAGGAAGGCGTTTAGCCTTGACATTGCTGACACAGGATCAAAGATTGATTTATCAGAGTGACCATTTTTCAATAAAATGACTATTTCTGTTTCCATGGGTGTATAAACATTATTTATTGCCTAGGCTTTTGTCGCATTGTCTCTCAGCTGTCACTTAAATATATTTTTTGGAAGTCACAGCTGTAACGATTTTATGATCATATAAAATAATGAAAATACAAGAAAAAGACATTCTCCTTGTTTGATCGCTTCAAAAGACACCTATGGCAGCTTGGGTTATATAAAAGGTACCTTTCTAAACATTTCACAACTAATAGAGAACATCTGGGTAGAGATGATGATGTAATTTTTTGTTAAAGTTTCTTTTCAAAAGTACTTTATGGAGCTGTAATACTGTTTGATTCTTCCAAACATTTAGTGTCCTTAATAACAATAGAAAGAATTTTTTTTTTCCAAAGGTTCTCTATAAAAGCCAAAGAGAGCTGGAAAAATGGAAATATTTAAAGGATGCTTTGGTAAGGAAAGAAGGGCCTGTGAGGAGAGTGTAACATCAGATACCACGAGCAGGCGTTGATTAGACAGATACAGTTTCTAAAGACACGTCAACGTTAAGTCAAATAAATGGGAGCAAGCTGCTTCTAAAGGTTGACGTCCCCCAAAGCGAAGCCCAGACACAGTGTGTTGTGGAGATCAGAGCCTTCCCCGGCGATCTCTGGCGAAGTCTCTGAAGCCTTCTTCCCCAAACCCATTATTTGTCCCTCACCCTCACTCTTGACCTTGACTCTTCCACCACGAGCAGAGCATCATCAGGTGGCCCTGGTTTCCTGTCCAGAACACACAGCCACTGCTCCATTTTGGGGTGGCTTTACCAGATCATTCCCATGCCTGCTGTGCCGCTTCTTGCTTTCCAATGTCCTCCAGAGGATCAGGAATTCCTATATGAACCAAGCTCTTTCATTTCCTGGGCAACACGACACCAGCCCTGGCCCTTTGTGGTGTTTCACCTCTGTGTTGGTCCTTTGCAGGTACATGAGAGCTACAGGTGGCTCCTCCAGGGTAATGTGTGACAATGTGCCAGGCCTGGTGAGCCGCCAGCGACAGCTGTGCCACCGGCACCCGGACGTGATGCGGGCCATTGGCCTGGGAGTGGCCGAGTGGACGGCAGAGTGCCAGCACCAGTTCCGCCAGCACCGCTGGAACTGCAACACGCTGGACCGGGATCACAGCCTCTTTGGCAGGGTCCTGCTCCGAAGTAAGTCCCCTGCCTTCATGGAGTTCCATGGGGCTGTCCCCTGGCTGGGTCTTCAGAGACTCTGCTCATCTTGTCTTGCATTTTATTAGTCAGAAGCTGCTTCTTTTGGGTTGGCCCTCTCCCTGTTTTGCAGATGACGGCTAGAGAAACCAAGGAACTCGCCTCAACTTTTGAAGGAGGCCAGGCGTAGCTTAGGATGAACTGTCTCTTGGCTCTTTGCTCTGTCCGTCTATATCCTGTCACTACTTTGCCTGTTTCTCCAAGATCAGATTTTGTCTTCAGGAGAAAGGAGGAAGCGGTCACAGGGCTCTCTTGACTTGTTTATTCTTTCTGGGACTTGAAACTTCCAGAGGATTTGAGCAGATCAGGTTGGAATACTCAAATCGTTTACTGACTAAGAAGTATGTATTTCAAAAAAAAACAAAACAAAAACCCTGTGTGTATATTAAGAAGAAGAGACAAATCTCTGTCGCAAACCTTTTATCTCCCATTCAGCTACTCAGCTGCGGTCACTCTGTGTCTAAATTCAAAATTTTTTCCCTCCAGTAGATTATAAATTCTGCAAGGCAGGGACTAGCCTCTCTTTCCTGCACTCGCTTGGTACCATTCACTCATTGATGGGTTGAATGAATGGATGAACTCATAGTGAGCACCTGTTTTTTTGTTGTTGTTGTTTTCTTGTTTGTTTCTTTTTAAGGCACATTTTAGGAAGAATAATATTTATGGAGGATTTGGGTGAGAACCATGAATACATTGTTTTCAAACACATGCTTGTTTTGTTTCTGTTTTACTTAGAAGGAGCATTAAACACATCTAATTACATAATAAATTTCTTAAAATTCCTGAATATGGGAAGTAGCAAATTAACTGACAATCAGATTTCATTGTCAAAAATACCCATCCCTTAACCTGGCATTATGAGCATTCTTCAAGAAGTAGCATGGCCCATTTGCTATTGGGAAATCTGACTGAAAACACAACAGTTTATGTGTGAACCCCAGAAACAGGAAACTACACTTGGTTTTGCCCACCACCACCCCCCATTCCTCAGAAAGTTGTCCAGGCTGTACACTTGGTAATGCTTAACAGAGGGTGTTTCTATCATGTAATCATCACAGCCCTAGGGTTTTATGAGGCCAAATGCATAACTGAATGTCTCTAAAATCCCCCAAGGGTGTAGTACTCTCGCTCAGTGTATCCCTAAAGTTAATTTACTGAGATATTCTGCAATTTTATTCTCTAGTTTAAGAACTATATTCTTGTGCATTCCTTTTGGAGTTTCAATATGACATCGCAAATTTTTGAAAGGTTAATAGTAAATTTCAGCTACATGGAATTTTAAGACTTCACCTAGATTAGCTCACCAGTGAATCAATTAAAGTGCTGGACCTTGTCAGAGACAGTTTACAAATATCTAAAACAAGTGATCTTTGGGTATGTTGTGGACAGGCTCTCAGTGTTTAAGACTGTGTGAGGACTTTCTTTCCAAAGTACTCACAATCATTTTTCAGTCATTACAAATTAAATATCCTTCTCCTTCCCAAAATGTTCACCTCCAAATTCTGTATGCAAAAATCCATTCAGATGTCTCCATATTGAATAAAAACCTTTAGATCAGCAATCAAAGGAAGCAGTTTTGCCCATGGAAGGAACCTAAAGATAACATGTCTAGCAAAGCTGGGGATTCATTTGTAAAATCCTTTAATCTTGGCTATAGGGTTGCTGAGAGGGAAGAGGTTAGAACTAGGGGACATGGTGCTAGTTTGACTGTCAGGACTCAGGTAAAAAAGAGTCTAAGCTGTACTTCTTCAGAGTTCTTTCAGATGAAGCTGAATGTTTTGCCAAAGTACTCAAAACTTAAAACACTCATGCTACACAATTTCTTTCCATTCTTCACAGAAGGCCAGCTTTCTTCCTGGACATTTATATAAACTCCTGTGACTGTCGGTGATGATTTTGTGTTGGTTATGGGAGGGCTGAATTTGGCCTAAAGTAGTTTATCCTGGAAATAATCAAGAAATTCCAATGAAGCTATCCAAAGATTTTTACAATTAATTGTTTGGAGGGAAATTCACATCTTAAGTTGTGAAGAACTCTCTCTTTTGGAAACCTAAATGTCCTTATAGATGAATAGGAAAGGCAAAGGCCAACACCATTGATGCAGAGAACATAACAGTTACCAACATATCCCATGGTCCTAGAGAAAAGGAGAACATTTACTAGCCTCTTTTGCTTCAGAGAGCTAGAGGAAGACAGAACAATTTCTGGAAACATTTGCAATTCATTCATTCCACAGACTGTCGCCAACCATAGGCAGAGAAACTTAAAAGACCAAACTAGTAAACCCAGAAATATTCCTGCAAGAATACACCTCCAGAATTCTAAAATAAGCCTTAAAAAACAAAACAGTGAGCAGGTCTCATCCTTGTAATATATTAAAAGAAAAAGAAATGCAAGCATTTAAAGAGAGAGCTGAACCACCCATAACTTTCCAGAATGTGGAGCTTCTAGTGTTTTACCCTCCCAGTAACCAACCTCTGCCCCAGGAAAAAAAAAAAAAAAAGTGATGCCTATGCACTTAATAAACCTTTCTTGACTTATCTCAACCCCCAAATTATTTTTTTAAGATTTTATTTATTTGTCAGAGAGCCAGCAAGCAAGCACAAGTCTGGGGAGTGACAGGCAGAGGGAGAAGTAGGCTTCCCGCTGAGCAAGGAGCTGGATGTGGGGCTCCAGCCCAGGGTCCTGGGATCATGACCTGAGCCAAAAGCAGAGGCATAATGGACTGAGCCACCCAGGTATCCCTCTCAATTAGCGAAACTTCAACCACATCAGGAAGTACCTGATTTGAGATTTGGATTTTGTTTCATACTGTGATGGCTTTAAAGAGAATCAGTTTTTCTAAGAGGCCCCAGATCAAAATTTGTTCTGTTACAAAGCCAACTCTTGAAATGTGCTACCATTTCACACATAGCATTTTAGTGATTCATCTAAGACACTTAACTGAAAACATCTTAAGGCCATATCTACATGATACCAAAACATCTGGAGGTAAAAATGAAAAGTCAGTCAATGTGCTAACTTTTGTGTTAAATAGATAGACATCTAGTTCTTTAGTAATGTGTTTTAAAAATAAATAACAAATATTTACAAAGGTGATATTTTTGCTTTGGAAATTCCTTCAGAAACATAGCAGATTTTCAGTGATTTTTCTTCCTTCTTTCAGCCAACAAGTCAATATCATCGTTTGCAAGTTATGCCAGGATAAATTCTGCACCTAGGCCACTGATTCCTCTACGGCTTTCAAAATACTGTCTGGTCACTGACATCCTATGATCCACATCTCCCATACCTTTCCCCTAAAAGACCACCTCATAAAATTGTTCTTCTTTCTCCTTAAGGAATAAAACTAGAGCTAAATACATTAAGCATTTGGAATCTACCTCCTCTGTGCCATCTCTCCATGCTGGCACTATATGCCAAATACAAAACCGGGCCTTAGCAGATCAAGGGGTTAACTATGGACAAGCCATTTTCCTAAACTGGCTGTGATAAAATGGGTGTGATAAAAATCTTACTTATCAGAAAGCCACTACCTGAGATTAAGCCACATTAGTATCTATTAATCGCCTTCTTTTACAAAACATCTCAGTTCACTTAGAAAACCTGTGATCCTTGTAATAGAATCTAGAACTCTTTAAAATAGCTCTTTGACCATCCCATTTCTCCCTGGAGAGTGCTACCTGCTACCTATGGCAAATATTCATATAATTGATTTTACCTAAACACAGGGCATGATGGATTCCTTTTCTGATGGTTAGAGGTTTCAGGGGAGATATTTTTTGAAGGCTGAGGTAAGTGCCATGTAATATGGTGTAGATATGTTTTCCTGATTTTTAATAATGAGACTAGCAGAGCAAATATTACAAGGGACATATAATAAATTTTCACAGTGAATGACAAACGGAAACAAGCAGGGCTTCAAGGCGAGAAGGTGGTTTGTTCTTCCAGCTGCGCGGTTCAAAAAGTCACACTTGTCTTGACATACTGCATCGCTGAATGGCCCTCCACTTTCTGCCTTGCGTTGGCATTAGGTTGTTGAGCTTTTATTTTGATTGTTAATATATTTGCTGCAGCACCCATTAATAAAAAGGCATGCTAATAACAATGAAATACTGCTCCACTTGAAAAATGAGGTGTACACGGACCCCAAAGAGCCTTATATCTGTCACTGTACCACAACACCATGTTATGAGTTACTACAGATTATTAAAATAATTTAATGTAGTTATTGCACTGAAATATGTACCTTTCAGCCTGTAAGGGAAAGTAGCCTGTGCCCTAATAAAGAACAATTCTAAGAAAGCACCCCAAAGTGTTCTTGCCCAAGTCTAATTATAGGTGGTAAATTTGTTTCCTTCTAGAAAACGAAAGAAAAGCATTTCCCTGTCTTTTACCCAATACCAGTGATTAGTGCAGGTGTTCCAGAAGAAAGTAAATTCACCTTAATAGTCAGACGTAGTATGTAACTGAAGGATATTGCATATTGCCTTCAACCATCTCTGAATTACTCATATAAGTTGATGCCGAACCAGAACCCCCCTGCCCCCCAGGTCGGAACGCGCAAAGCTGGTCACTGCCTGAGTTCTCTTCCTGGCCTCAGCCCCTAGGTGTCTTTGAATTCAGTTTTCAGCCTCCACTGTTTATGTGACAGAAGTGTCCTCACTAAGGTCTGCAAGCTTGAAAGGATTTTTCAACAAGAGATGCCCATAGCATGAATACTAAACTATTTAGTGGAATGACAGAATCCTAGAACTCAGGCTCTGTTACAAATGGAAGGAAGGCTTCGGAGGCGGCATTCTTCTCCTCTAGGACAGGAGGCGAATGTAAAGCCAGGAGTGGGCAAGACAGGCTTTTGCTGCATTTTCTTTTATATGCTTAACTGACTTGAAGGATGGTTGTCACACAGATGCCTAATCTGACAAAAGCTTTTATGATACAGAAACAATTCCTATTAAAAAGTGAGCCCTGGCTCTAGAAGAGAATCCTTGAAGAACACCAGAACCTTCTTGCTCCATGGCGAAGGACGCCAGAGGCAGAGCAAGCGCTCAACAGCCCCAGTGTGAAAACTATTCCGAACTAGCAATTCCAGACCACATTTAAGATAAGCATTTCTGTTGCAGGTAGTCGGGAATCTGCCTTTGTTTACGCCGTCTCCTCAGCTGGAGTTGTGTTTGCCATCACCAGGGCCTGTAGCCAAGGAGAACTAAAATCCTGTTCCTGTGATCCAAAGAAGAAAGGAACCGCCAAGGACAGCAAGGGCAATTTCGACTGGGGTGGCTGCAGTGATAACATTGACTATGGGATCAAATTTGCCCGAGCCTTTGTGGACGCCAAGGAAAGGAAGGGAAAGGATGCCAGAGCCCTGATGAACCTTCACAACAACAGAGCTGGCAGGAAGGTATGGATGACTACGGTGCTCGTGATTTTCTAGACTGCATGGCTTTATAAATCACTTAAGCCAAATTTATCTTAAGCTTTCCTAGAGTTGACAAAATGCTATACAGTCCAACTTCCCACTGCCCTGCCCCCTGCCCCCTGCCATAGCTTCTAAAGAATATCATGGCCTAGATTGAAATGTCTCCACCGGCACTCCACCTTCCTTCCCACAGCAGAACAGGAGGCCACCCATTCCTTTTGGCATTGTGTAGAATCAAGTGTTTTTTTTCTTTTTCTTTTTTAATTTTTTTTTAAGATTTTATGTATTTATTTGACAGAGAAAGATCACAAGTAGGCAGAGAGGCAGGCAGAGAGAGGAGGAAGCAGGCTCCCCGCCGAGCAGAGAGCCCTATGCAGGGCTCAATCCCAGTAGTTAAGTAGTTTGAGCCGAAGGCAGTGGCTTAACACACTGAGCCACCCAGGTGCCCCTAAAATCAAGTGTTTTATGGTCCCTCTGGATACTGTATTATCTAGACAGGAGATAGAATCTGTGGGTGAGGATAGGGATTCACCCCACATACCAGTGGGACACTGATTGCTTGTATCTGAGGGGATCAAGACCCAGAGCATCTTCTCTCAAACTCTTCAGGAAAGCAACCCACCCGGCATGGCTTATTGACCTCTAGATTTAGAGATGCTTTTTTTAGAACCAGACCCAACTCTCACACATTAAAGCACCACCTTGTAGTTTCTGGGACTGGATGAGTAAGTAGACCAGGGAAAGACATGCCCCAAAGAGGTGCTCTGGCACCTTATCTACTAGTCCTGACTAACTTCCTGGGCTGTGGGTACCCTGTCATTATTTGCCTCCTTGCCCCCGTTTGTTGCATGAGGCAACAGGACCTAAGGTGCTCAAGGTCACAGGGAAAGTCAGTAGAAAAGTCAGTACTAGCATTCAGGTTCAACTCCTAGCCTAGGGGTGATTTGCCCAGGATTAAACCATTTCAGAGCTAGTATTCAGATCTGTTGATGTGCCATTTCTTTCCGCATGGTGACAGGACCAGAATAACTAGAGAGTCTGAATGCCACACTCTATCTATCTCTTTGTGGGAAAAAAAAACATAAACTAATGAAATATTTGGTCAGAACCATTCTAGAATAATCGAATTGCCAATGGGAAGAGATAATCGTAATTTGTCTTTTATCAACACAAAACAAAAATGTGCTTGACATTAATATGTAAAGAAAGATCAGCATAAAATTGAAAGGTCCCCAGGAGGGCTTTGATAGAAAAAAGAATCGAAAAGAATGCAGATCTGTTTGGATAAAAACCCTTTTACTAGGCTCATGGAAAGAACAAATCTCATTTAAAGGAAGTTGGAAGGAAAGTCTTGCTTAACACATGGAATAAAATGAGTGTGACCTGAGCTGTTTACAAATAGTACCTTTCTTGAACTTTAAAAATCAACATTCCTTATTTTCATGAATTTACGAACCTACAGTGACTACTGCCAAGAATATAGACTATGGTTGTGTAATCCTACAACTATTGGTAATTACTGTTTGTGCAATGGTTTAGATTTTTAAAAATTTACATTGACCTTTGTTTTGACATTGATACCACATGTATAAGTTATAAAGTGTGGTGTCTTTGATAGGAGCGTGCTGCTTAATTATTCAAGCAGGGTGTGTAGTTAGATCTAGAAGACTATTCCTAAAGGTAAAGGCATATGGTCCTATGCTGTAACTAAAAGAATGTCGATTTGTCAAAAGAAAAGTTAATTTTGCTTAATAGGCCGTTAGGTTTTGAATGTTTCACTTCTTCAAGACAACAGATCTTCGCTATTATATCGTAGGCCCTGATTTAATGTGACTTTTAATATAAATCACATGATTCTTCACTGTGTAGAGGTGAACAGCTGTCAGGCCTCAGATATTCTCCTGCCTAGTCTGCAAAACCTAGGAGGCTACTTTTGATTGGAATAAAAGTGCACACGCTGACTTTTTAAAATGTGGCTTTAATTAATGGTGGGTGGGCAGACTTTTTCAAGGAGATGCATGATGTCAGTGAATATGAACTTTAATGAGAGTGAATGTATTGAGATAAACATGCGTCTTTAATTCTCTTCTTGCGGTCATTAGACCCCCAGTCTCTGCTCCCCCTTCCTATGAGCAGAAGGTCTGTGGAATCAAAATGAGAACAGGCTGGGCTTGTGTTTGAAGGCAGGCCTCCTGAGCTAAGCCTCCAAGTGGCCTGGCTCTAGAAAGACCCAGTCTCCCCGAACGGAGAGCACTGTCCGTTCCTTCTTATTTTCTGCTTTGTGCTTTTCAGTGTTTCCCATATTGCCCAATATGATGAACATCTACTTTTTTAAAATGCGGGTCTGGGACCGATATGCTTTATTTAAAAGAGAAAACACCAATTCCAAGATTATACTTAGCCAATACTAGAAAGCGAATTCAACACTGCCATTCACAGTGGGCCTTAATTTTCCCCTAATATTTGAACAGTTTAATTCATTTATTACAGCAGCTGGTTAGAGCACCCTCATGTGTCTCTGTACTGTAATGTCATTTCAGATCCTCTGTGCTGTTATGTCTTTTTAATCACAGCCTCAGAATTTGTAGTAATGTTTTTTTCCCTTGATGTGTACTTAAAAATTCATCCTTGACTGAGTCCAATTTTCCACCTCTAAATCAGATTATTAAGTTCTAAAAAGGTAAATCTACCTTCTTCAAAACTAACAGTCTATCAAGAAGGAAATTCCAGTGTCTCTCAACAGTTCTTTTTAAATCCAAAGATGCCATGCCACAGAATCTTCTGAATTATATGTTAAAATATACAAATTACGAGACAAAGTTACGTGGTAGATAGCCACCATTTGTTCCCTCTCATAAGCTTGAAAATGGCTTTTACGTTAATCTACTCTTTAGAAATAGTCACAAGTAATCACAACTAGTTGAAGCAATCACAGCTTCTTTGACCTTTTCTAAGAGAATCAAAAGAATCTGTATCCAGTCAAGCAAGGTCCTAGGATCACTGGAAATGTGCATGATAAGAATTCCAGGAAAACTTTTCCCCCTGAAGTTCTCTTACTGTGAAAACACAGAGAAAATGGGATTTAAAATCCAATCTACCTTAGTTTTAATCTTGCAGTATCCATGGCGTTGCTCACTGAAATTCCGTTTTTCTCCTCTGTAAAAGGTATTCCGTGGTGCTGTGGGAAGACAAGAATTAGGTAGATAGCACAGAACCGGACAGGCAGCTGCACTCCATAGAAGTCCATTTCTTTCTCTTTAGTGAAGCGAAGGTCATCTGTGACTTCAGGAATAGCTAGACACAAACCCAGGAGGAACTATTACTGAGGACTCGGTCTGACGGCCCCAGGTAGCCGTAGAGCCATCTCTGGTACAGTTAAGCACACTAACATACAGGCATGCAGTATTCTCTAGTTTACAAAACACTATCCAAAATTTGTCATTTGATCTTCCAGGAAACCCTGTAGGATAAAAATCAGCACGAATGTTCCCACTTTTCAGACAGCAAGCTGCAGACGGGGGCTGGATGTGGTGACTAAGGAGTCAGATGGCCGAGGCGCGCTGGGCTTGGGGCTCAAACCCAATAGGGTTCGCCCTTCTGTCCTCATGGACCTTCCATGGGGGCTCTGCTGAGCAATTCTGAGAAAAACACAGAGTTTCAGTATTTTGAAAAGAGCAGCAGCTGCCCTTGAAAGGTAGTTTAATGATGATGTTTTGTGTAGGTCTTTCTCTCACAAGCACCCTATAGTGAATTTATATTCTTCTTTAACAACAGGGAGAATATTGTTTTAAATGCCAGAAACACGACTGCTGGTCCCTGGGAGTGTATTTGAAGTAATGGAGCCTTGCTGGGTGGCTTCAGAATGTTCCATCTAATGGCGCTGCACCGCTCTGAGAGGCCTGCGTGCTATGGGACTCAGTTTAGGTCGACAGATAATTAGTGCGTTGCTCTGGGGCACTAAGTCGTAGGTGGAAAAGCACAGGACAAAGAGCCTCCTGACCAGGAGGAACGACCGGTTCGTCAGGGGAGGAGGGAGACACAAGCGCCAGGCAAGCTCTAGGCTATGGGTATTAACAGAAAAATCAGCCACAGGGCCAGAGAGCTGAGGAGAGAAAGGTTGGGTCACAATAGAACTGGATATTGGAGCTGGAGATAAAGATTTCCCATGATTGAGATAGGAAAAATTCTTTCCAGGATGAAGAAACTGCAAGGCCAAAAAAGATACTGGAGCAGAAAGAACATCAAAGTTGAGGAATGACGAGGGCTCTAGGGTGGGGTTCCTGAGACTTAATAGAGGCTGAGGCCGCACACTGGCGTCTGCCAGATCTCAGCCTCGAATGCTGTGCGGAGAGATTTGGACGTCGCTGGGAAGCAACAGGAAGACACTGAACAGTGGAGACATTAAACATTTAAGTTCCACTCTTACGCATTCTTAACTCCTCTGGAGTCCCCTTTGAAAGGCTGATAGATTTCAAAGTTCAGATGTTCTTGATGTGTTTGAATTAGTGCCTTATTAAATAGAGTAGGAAAATTGTGAGAAATGGTTACCTCCCTGAATTTTATTTTCAGCCTTAAATATGCATATAAGGGCTGATGTAGATATTAGGCTTTCTGATGGATGCTAACAAAAAATTAGCATGTGGCAACTGTATTGAAATTTATATTTTTAACATAATGTTTAACATTGCTATTGGCTACTTTATTCATTAGTGGATCTTAGCTATTGACAGCATCTTCTGAGGCATATGGAAGCTGGGGTTCTAGAATCAGAACACTGGCTCTAATACTTGAGCATGACTTTAGACAGGTTACCTAAAGAGAATTTCCACATCAGCTAAAATGTATACACCAGGTTTTAAGCAGGCATAAAGGCAAGTAACATTACTATCCATATTTTGCATATGAAGAGACTAAGGTCTAATAGGAAGGCTAGAAATAGCAAACAAAATGAATTTACTGCTAGCTAAAATCATCTGAAATTC